CCCCGGCCCGGCCGTCCTTGGGGCAGCGAGCGCCACTGCCAGCACCTGCCGCGGTTCCGCTGCCCACAGGGAAGCGCCGCTGCCCACGGGGGAAGCGAGGCCCCACACTGCTGTCCCCGTGGGGTGTGGGGAGCCCCTTCTGGGAGCCCCATTTAGTGTGAAGCGTCATGCCTCCAAGGGCGGTGGGGTATGCGGATCCCGTGTCAGAGTGGAGGGTTATTCTTACCCCTGAATCCCCCCGGAAGGATTGGCCCCGAGGTAGTTTGAAAAACGCAGCTGGAAACGGCATCTGCACCCCTGGACAGCCCCCCAGCTCCAGTGGCAGTGTAGGCCATGTGCTCCTGGGTACACGAGTATCAGCAGCTGCATCCAGCTCCCATTCGTGTCCCATTCAGCACAAACCAGAAGGAATCTTTTGTGTAATGTTCCCCCCGCTTTCTGCAAAGAGGAATGGAAAGAAAAAAACTAGCATGGCATCAAAACTGGGGAAATCACGGTCAACAAGAAATCATATCAGCCCTTGGAATCTCCAAGTAATGTGAAATTAGCTTTTAAATTAAGTTACTCTGCTGGAACTGTGCTTTGCACATGCTTACATGAGACAGCACCTGGCAGCCAAAACAAATGAAACATTACTTCTGTGAAAACCAAACAGACTAGTGCATAAGGGAAATTAGCAATGTCTCCTTTTTTTTTTTCTGGCTTTTGCATGAAAATATTTCATAAATACATATTTCACCAGGGCTTCCAGAATAGCACCACATACTGTAATGTGAGGAATACATCAAGCTACAAAACAATTTCTAAAACAAAATATGGTAAAAAAAAAAAAACTTCAAAAGTTACAGGGAATGAAAGAAATATAATAAATGAAAAGATATTGGTCCGATAAAGGTATTTTTAAAAGAAATGGATTGGTCTGACCTTTCTTCCAATTATAGCAATAGCACCAAAGACACAGACTCTGATGGTCACAAAACAGACAGCAGTGAGTTGAGGACCACGTAGTTTCTTTTCTGAAAAAAAGAAAATTGCTGAACACCTGCAAGGCCCATTAATTTAAACAGAAGTTGGAAGTACCTGTCAAAGCCAAAGATGTGGCCCCAGCACCCAACTGGGGAACATCCCCTTGCAAGTCTGTCTTAAAGGAAGGATCCTAAAATAACTAGGAAAAAAAAGTACAATTATGCTTTCCAGGGATAGAGCCAAAGAAGGAATGGAGGATTTTTCTTAAAATGTGGCTTAATTTTCCTTCAGAATGATATTTTGTATTCTGACATAACAGAAACGCTGAGGTAAACTTACAGCCATGTGGACTTCATAAGCTCGTGCATCAACTTCCCTGCCAGAACGAGGGTCTGAATTACCCATGTGGCAGGAGCATCGTTGCCATTCAATCACAACAGGTTGCCAAAGTCTGGCTGGTACTTCCCAGCTAGAAGCTAGCTAGAGCTCTGTTGAAGAAGCATCTGTACAAAATAATGGCAAACACTTGTTTCAGAGTGTTCCACAATGTTTCCATTTAGCCAGGGCACTTCCAATAGCATCTTAAAAGCGATCTGGAGCAGGTTTATAAAAAGCAGCACAACAGGTCACTCACGTGACCAGTGAGTTGCCTGGGTCTCCCAAGCCCTTG